TGTATTTTTGTGCTTGGTTGCCCCGACCCATGTGCAGAACCTTGCACTTGGCCTTGTTGAGCTTCATGAGGTTCGCACGGGCCCACCTCTCAAGCCTGTCAAGGTCCTTCTGGATGGCATCCCTTTCCTCCAGCGTGTCAACTGTACCACACAGCTTGGTGTCATCGGCAAAATTCCTGAGGGTACACTCGATCCCACTCTCCATGTCACCAACAAAGATGTTAAACAGCACCAGTCCTAATATTGACCCCTGAGGAACGTCACTCGTCACTGGTCTCCACTTGGACATCGAACTGTTGACCGCAACCCTTTGAGTGTGGCCATCCAGCCAATTCCTTATCCACCGAGTGGTCCATCCATCAGATTCCTGTCTCTCCAATTTAGAGACAAGGATGTCATGTGGGACAGTGTCAAATGCTTTGCACAAGTCCAGGTAGATGACGTCAGTTGCTCTTCCCTTATCCACCAACGCTGTAACCCCGTTGTAGAAGGCCACCAGATTTGTCAGACATGATTTGCCCTTAGTGAAGCCATGTTGGCTGTCACCAATAACCTCCTTATTTTCCATGTGCATAGTTTCCAGGAGGATCTGCTCCATAACTTTCATGTTATTTGCTTTAGAGCAAATGCCCTGGGTTACTTATATTTTATTCTCACTCAGATATCGATTAATGAATAATTTCATTAATTTCAATCAACCCATGCTGTGTATTGACCCATTTTCGTGGAGCTTTCTCTGAAGTAGCATAGCCTCACTGAGGTTGCAGTTCACTGAAATAGAGGCTGCTGGCTGCTGGTCAGTGACCTAAAACTCATTTTCTGATGCTATAGAAGATCTCATACAACGCATTACAAATACAAAATGCAGAGGAGTAGGACCACAACAACCATTTCATATTTAGAACCTGATATGCTACAGCTGCTAGAGCCTCTGCTCAGTTTTTATTTCAAAGTTGTTTCTTCTTCAGATTAATGCAGTGCTCTACTAGTTCTGTCAGTCCTAGTCTGAGAAAAAATGGTTTCATTATTCGTTACATCCTACACATTGAAGGGAAAAAAGACAGCTCTAGTGGTTCGCTGCACAGCCCAACATTACAGGAGCAAGTTTCTAAGGTTGTCCCCACTATCAGTAAGGATGCAATATCATCAGCATTTCTTTCACATAGTTTTAAATCTCTTTGTACTGTCAGCTTGGCATCTAGTTAACCATGGTTATTTGACAGTCACATATTTCAAAGCCTGCCTGTTGACTTATCATCTGCCCTGGATGCCTTTTTATAGGGATTACTATAAAGGGACTATTATACTGGGAAAAGCTTTGCATAGTTCATTGGTTTGGTTGGGGAAACAGATGCCCAAATCTTTCCATCTCTTCCAGCTCTTCAGCCAGACAAAAAGAGAGCTAGCAATACATGGATGAATCAGAAAGTAAAATGAGTGTGTGTTATCAGCTGATTTCAGGGTTGAATCCTTCAGTGATGTTTTGAATACTGATCTTCAGTCAATGAAAGGACTTCTGCTATTACAAGCATGTTATAGTCATTTCTGCAACCCATATGACATCAGTGATATGAATGATGAACACACATCTGGCATTATGAAACAGGGCTCTGATATTTAAATTGATTTGACAGATGGCAGCTCCTCAAAGAGCGATGCTGTGGAAATGTGTGATAAACTGAAAGCTTTGCCTGCTATTAGCCAGCCAAAAAAATCCAAGTCTAACTGCATTAGAACAAATTGCTGAAATTAATGTGGTAGGAGTACTTTCAAATGTGTCTGCATGCATCACACATTTGGCTAACTGTTAGAACAAAAAATCAGGGAGGCACAGCTTTCTGTTTCTGAAGGTTATTTTTCCCCCTGCCCTCAGTTTTTAATTCTTATTCCAAATTCAATTCCTTTAGAGGAAAACACCCACCCAAAAGTTCTGGATACCCTCAGAATAATCTGGGTACACTATCACTTCCAATAGCAAACCAGTTCCATCCTGTCAACTTTTCGTACACTCAGCACATTTCCCTGTCCATCAATAGACAGCCTGGAAATTCCTTCTCATTTTTTCATGGGTTAATCCCACCCACATAACTTCACTCCTCCCCTTCTTCCACAGACACTTGGAAAAATTATACTATAAACTGCACCTGCCTTTTCTATATCTGTATCATCGATATTTATTACTCTCTTAATCAAGATATGCTGACCAATGAATATCGTAACATGACATACTCTATAGTACCTTCCATCAGTAGGGGTAAAATTATTTGCTGTCATTGGTTTATATTTCTATTTTATTGACCTTTTAATTTGATTCTGATAGCTTAATTTTTCTTTTCAAACAATCCTCAGAGTCAGAGCAGTTATACACAGTGCAATAAATGGAGCCACAATTCATCATTCATTTCCTTCCCAGTATAAAACCACGACCACAACTAAATAATATTTCCAGTTTATAGAGTCTCATTTGGAGTAGTTAAGAAGAAAAATAGATCCTTCCCCATTAATGGAGCCATGACTCACTCTGGATTGGAGAGGAGGAGTGTGGCTGTGGTGGCAAGTGCAAGCCTCCTGTAGCTGTGCTGAAGTCAGCTGAATTACACCAGGGATGAATCTGGCCCACTATAAATGAGCACTCACTCCCTCTTATGAAATGGTCTTCTGATTTATCATAGAGACATTTATGGTATATTAAATGGACTAATTATGAAGCTTGTGTAGGAGACTGCGCAGTCCTGCGAGATGCTGAGTCCTTAGAGCTCATTTTGTACCAGTGGGACTTTAAAAATGCAGTTCCTTGGCGGTGGCGCTCAGGACCTGGCAGAACTAGCCCTATGACCCTTGCTCAAGCTAAACTGTCTGTGGCATTGCCCCAGAATTTGCTAAATCCAAGGTAAGGGATCCCCCTCATTGCACTTGGGTTTTGGAAGGAGCTCTGCACAATGGGTCAGGGCATGAGAAACGGCCCCTTGGATGGGACCTTGGTCCCTAACACCCGTTTGGCCTGCAGCTCAGCCCTGGGACTGGGAGCAAGGATCACTCTCCTGCCATCGCTGACAGTAATAAAATATGCAATTAAACAGAAGCCTGTAACTCTACTCTACTCGTTTGACCTTTTCTTGGCTGATGTAATCAGAATGAAGACCTTCCAGCACCCCTGAGTGATGCTCCTGGCCTCCTCTTCCAGTGGCTGGTAATTTTTTCCTGACTTAGTTTGATATTCATCATTTTTTAAATGTCTCGCACACCTTTTTTCCCCCCCTTCTTCTTTGCTGAGGTATTACTTTTCCCGAAGATGATTTGTCAAATCTATTGTTCATGTTGTGAATTGATCAGTGCAATCGCTGGGGAACATTTATCTTCTGTGAATGTTTTGCATCAGTTTCTGATTCAAAGAGTTTGAATGGCCAATAGCTGACCTAAGTGATTTTCTGTTGTCACCTTTTACAATAAGACCCACCAGGTATTTCAGGCTTTGTACCTGATTGGGTCCATGGGCAAGGACTTCTGAGGAAACAAAACCTGTGATACAAAGTCTCCCTTAATCTCTCAAATAATTTAAAATTGTAACTTTTTACATATGGAACAGAAGGGATCAAATTTGAAGCCGATACCCTCAGAGACGCAGGAGACTGCCTAATGCCACTGACCTGTGCAGAAACTTTCCATCCAGTTTTCTCCTGGGAGTGGGAGGAATGGGCTGTGCAGCAGGTATGATCGCCTCTGTCCAGCCAAATGCTAACTGGGAAAATCTTCACTCACTGCGATTGCCCTGCTTTTCATCTTGTCCCCACATCCATGAGCTTCTTTTAATTTTAAAACTCTCTGTTCAAACTTTGCCTATATGGACCTATTTTCTGGCCTTGTTGCTGTGGTTAATCCTGATCCCATAAGGTGACAAGGAAGGCAACCACAGAAATCTCAACTTCTTTCACCTTGCAGAGGTGGAGAGACAAGGCTTTAGGTCTTCAGTCTCCATGAGTCTTTCCATGAGTAGACGGTCTCCTCGTTCCTTCCCCAGTCTGCTCCTGAGGGAGGACTTGGGTTCTTCACTCCTTCTTCTAGACGTCCATAGAAGCACTGCAAGGACATTTGCTCATTTTTCTTGATTATCCAGGGAGAAAGAGGCAATTTGCTGGAGTCTACCCCTTATGACCTCCTTCACTATGGAAAAAATTCTCTGGATAACTTCTCTTCCTCCTGTTTTTTTACTTCCTATTTCTCATTAAAAAGTGCAGAAGAATAAAGATGAAAAACCTTTGGGAATGTCATTTCTCATTAAAAAGTGCAGAAGAATAAAATTGCAGAATGAAAAACCTTTGGGAATGTTTCCAGTATCCAGGCAGGGAAAGCCAACTGAGAAACACAACTTTCTGTGCTTAGAAAATGCAGTGGCAGGAAGGCAGGTGGTTTCTGAAGAAATTGTTTGATTCAGCACTAATCAGCAAACAGTTAAATGGCTTGCTATCTGATTTCTCCTCCTTGACAAGAAATATATTACAACGAAAGAGCACCACAATGTTTGTTATGCAATATATTGGCAACAGTGGTGACTGAACTTTATTAGAATGCATCCAGTAACGCTTTTCGTCAGAAAACCTCTGTTACGCAGTTAACAGGGAAGGTTATGAATGTGAAAGAAAACCACTTTTTTTGTCTGGGAAATGTTTTACTATGTTTGTATATAATGCCATAAATTTAAATCATGGACTGCAAATCCAAAATTTAAGGTAAACCTTCATCAACCTTTATCAGCTCCTGCATATACAAGATGGGGCCATCACAATATACTGAGAAGCCCTGTTCAAACTGAGAAATAGTTTGTCTTCACAGGCCATTTTTAGATTGCTAAGTATTCCTCCAACATATGGAAAACAGTTATAAATAATTTTAATAAATTAAATGATTAAAATAATTATTAAATAAATTAAATAAATATTATTAAATTAAATTAAATTAAATAATTTTTTAATCTCAATAAACCTTGAGATTATCTCTTGATATTTTTCAAAAATGTGTGTGCAGTTACTGATGCAGCTATAAGCCACCGTAACAGACTTGTACCAAATTTTGTCCAGGGACAACTGGTTTAACAGAAACGGTTCAACTTTATGCTGTGTGCCTGTGAAGGATTTCAATGTTTCCCTAGCCACTGGGCTGCAAGGGACCTCCTAGGCCGTCTAATCTAACATTTGACATGGAGGGCTGCACCTACATTCGTGTTTCAGTTTGAATCAGGAGCATGAGCCCAACGCTTGTGAACCTGGTCTCCTGATGGTCCCCACTCACAACACTATCGTTCTCACTGTGGAGCTGTCTGAGAGCACCCAAATTGGATATCTTTCAGATGACACCAACTGGCTTAATGCCCCCCCAGTGCACAACTAGTGCACATCAACCATCAATGAGCACCCACTCACTGGGAAACGGCTATAGCTAACTGAAGTTATCGCCTCCCCCGGAAATGTGTATAGGCTGGATACGGGATCCTCAGCGCAAGCTCTTTTGCTTCTCAGAGCAGACCGTAATGTACCACATGCCTTCTCCATGTAAACATAGCCAGTGCCTTATAATCCTGTTCATAAGTGTATCAAACACTGCCTGAAACTTTTGCTCAGGGTTATAGATCCACACTGAACCCTCAGCTGTTTTATACACGCTTTTCTGCTTTGTTTTAATAGTATTTTGTTTGACAAGTAATTAATGTCAAACATCATAACTACCAGCCACAAATACATCAGTATCGTTGCTATTACTTTTACCGTTATTATTTTGATCATTGTTTTAATCATTGATTGAGTACTTCCTAAATTTCATTGTGTACCAAAAGAACTAGACACGCTCTGCTATGATTTATGTGCAATGTCATTCCAAGACAGATTTCTGCATTGTACATGTTGAAACAGCTCTTCAAAAATAAATGAGTTATCACTGTGTTGAGGATTGAACTCGGTACCACATCACTGCCACTTTCCCAAAGGAATATTGGCAAAAACCATCACAGAGGTGCTAAATGTATTTTACAAATATATGGCATAAATTAAGATCTATGTTGCTGTTGTGCTAGAAGCTAAGAGAGCCCAGCACCACCCTTCAGAACACAGGTAGCTGAAAATGGAACAAGTAGAGGGATAAACACTGAGCTCTACTTCTTTAGGTGTTAGCCACATGGAAAGGGGGCAAAGCTCTAGAGCGGACTGGGTGTTAGCTGTGTGCTTTCCCTTCCATTATTTACTGCTGAGATACCCGAGGTGTCCAAGATCAAAGTTCCTGACTGAAGCAACTTCTGCAATGTGGAAGTGTAATTGGAAAATACAATCAAGAAATGATCCAGAGAAAATGCACATTTATTTACTGTATCTGCACTGGATTTCGTTTGCAAAGGAACCTCAAACCTCACCTCAACAGTGCCTCCATCTTATATCCACATCTCCTCCAGTGTGGTAACTGGGTAGAACAACAAAAACATTGCAGACCTCCACTTTGGCAAAGGCAGCTGTCCAGAATTATTGCATGCCCAGAGCAAAGCAAACCTCCACGTTATAATGGTTTAATGTATAATATACACAGAGGTGAATTCTCAAAAGCCAAGCCAGAGTTACTCTGGCTGGCAAGGCTGAAAGAATGGTAAAAAGTGGGTTTGTGGAGAGAGAGAGGAAGAGACTTTAATCCCAGGAATGATGAAAAGACAATTGGCTTTACCTATGGGAAGTCTGTCCCAGCCAGGGCTACCCATCATGCTGGCCAGCAGAAAGGCCTAGCTGACATTTGGAGGAGGAAAGATACGGAAAGCAATGGAAAGGAAAGAGCAGACACTGACTGAACGCCTGTCAGAGTTCAAGGAGCGTCTGGATGATGCTTTTAGTTGTATGGTTTAGTTTTAGGTAGTCCTGCGAGGAGCAGGGAGTTGGACTCGGTGTTCCTTAAGGGTCTTTTCCAACTTGAGATATTCTATGATTCTATGATTCTATGGGGGGAAGTCTGTGACTTCGCAACTTTAGCCTAGGAGGTGGGGAGGAAGATGTAGCAGGGTGCTGGGGGGAACAGATGTGACAAAAGCTTTATTAGACATTTCTTCCAAATATCAGGGGTGGTTGTTTCTCCCTCACCTCCCATCCCCCATGAAAATCAATCTAAATCCAAGGCTAACACCCAGGGCACTTATCCTTATAAATCAGACATTCAGGAATGCTGAAGGGACATTCCACTTACCCAATGACAGCTGTAATTGATTTATAAATGTCTACCTCCACCCAAAATCTATGTTTGGATATAGTACGATACACACTGTGAAAAAAAAAGGTCAAGATATCAGCATTACAATTACCTTTGGTACAGAACTGGTATGTAAATCTGCAGCAGGGACAGTGAACTTAGAAGACATTGGGGGAAGAGAGGCAATTCCTGTAACAAGAATATATAAGATTGCTGTTATTCAGTGTCCACCATGGCATGAACCACAAGCCGTTCAGGAATACAGCTAAATATGATTTAATATTGTGAGCCAAACTCTAGCTAACTTGTTGGGCTAACATGGCAAGGTTTTTGTAGTGGGAGGGAGCTTGCAGGGGTGACTTCTGTGAGAAGACACCGGGAGCTGCCCCCATGTCAGACAGAGCCAGTTCCAGCCGGTTCCAAGACTCCTGTTGCTGGCCAAAGCTGAGCCCATCAGCGACACTGGTGGCACCTCTGTGATAACGTATTTAAGAAAGGGTAAAACACGCTGCGCAACAGGAGCTGGGAAAAGTGAGTGAGAAAATGTGAGAGAAACAGCCCTGCAGACACCAGGGTCAGTGAAGAAGGGAGGTGAGGACATGCTCCAGGTGCCAGAGCAGAAGTTCCCCTGCAGCCCATGGAGGACCACAGTGGAGCAGATATGCACCCTGCAGCCCGTGGAGGACCCCATGCCACAGCAGGTGGATGTGCCCTGAGGGAAGCTACAGCCCGTGGAGAGCCCACACTGGAACAGGCTCCTGGCAGGAGCTGTGGCCCCATGGAGAGGAGTCCATGCAGGAGCAGGTTTTCTGGCAGGAACTGTGACCCCGTGGGGGACCCACACTGGAGCACTCCATTCCTGAAGGACCGCACCATGGAAAGAACCCATGCTGGAGCAGTTCTTGAAGAACTGCAGCCCGTGGCAAGGACCCACATCGGAGAAGTTCATGAAGGACTGCATTCTGTGGGAAGAACCCACACTGGAGCAGGGGAAGAGTTTGAGGAGGAAGGAGCGGCAGAGACGATGTGTTATGGACTGACCACAGCCCCCATTCCCCCTCCCCCTGCGCTGCTTGTGGGGAGGAGGTAGATGGGCTAGGAGGGAAGGTGAGCCTTGGAAGAAGTGGGGGTGGGGGAGGTGGTTTTAGTTCCGTTTTTCTTTCTCACTATCCTACTCTGTTATTAATTGGCAATAAATTAAATTAATCTTCCCCAAGTGGAGTCTCCTTTGCCTGTGACAGTAATTGGTGAGTGATCTCCCCCTCCTTATCTTGACCCATAAGCTTTTCCATCTTATTTTCTTCCCCTGTCCTGTTGAGAAGGGGGAGTGATAGAGTGACTTGCTGAGCACTTGGTGGCCAGCCAAGGTCAACCCAGCATGCTAACAAATATGAAAGAGGCCCATCTAGGACCCAGTAGAATCAATTTGTCCAGGTTTACTTAGTTTTTCTTCTATTTATTGTAACTGCTACATTTTACAATACCACATGCTCTTGAAATCTTTCCACTGCACTTATTTCTTCACAATTTATTTGTTAGAGAGAAAAGGATGTACAACTGGATTATAGACTCTGCACAATAATTTTATGTCATTAAGTGTTTGATTAAACGTTTTGATAATAATGTGGTTATAAATGCAAGTGGTGGGAAACGATTTGGTGGAGATTTACATTTGTTTTTGAAGAGTCTTTGTGCTTAAGGACTACAATTTATAATGCCTTAGTCATTTATCAGTAAAATCATAGTTCACTAACTGCCTTTTTTTCTTTCCTTCTTTCTTTTATTTTTGTTCCTTTTTGTTGGTGGTGGTAGATTTTTTTGTTTTTACAGACCAACTGCAAAATATTGCCTAAATCGACTATCATATGGGAATCCAGCACTCCCACCTCTGGCCCCAGAAGATATTTGGAAGAACAAAGGCATTTAAAAAAACAAACCCAGGACTAAAACTAAATTCAACTGCAAAGAACTTTGATGTTTTCTCAATACTTTTGAAGGACCATACTCTAGAAAACCCAGAATGTTCTGAAGAGGTTCAGGCCAAGCACAAGTCCTTCACAAAGTGTTGTGAAATCTTGTAATGTAATTGCTTGACATGTTGTCCAAAATGCCTATGTTGAGAAGCAGTTTGACAATATGTAATTCACCAGCTTAGACTCACTTGGTATTTGTACGTTCCGCGGTTCCTCTGGAATGTATCCCTGATTTTCGCTACCATGCCTTTGCCTGTTTTCCAAATCGCCATCTTTTTTCTTCTCAGCTGAAACTTTTCTAGAAACAAAAAGGCCTGTCATTACAACTTCATTATGATATGAGAACGCTTGGGTAGTAGGCTACAGAGAAAGAATTATATGTCTTACTTCTGAAAAAATAGGTGCAAAACATATCTGGGCCTTCCAAGTAATTAGCTAGTACAAATCTTGTCCCATATAAGTATTACCTGTGAAATTCTGTTTAGGAAGTTTCCATCAGCTGCATTATCAGAAAGCAGGAAAATAAAGCGAGCGATCTTCAAAGAGTGAAGACTCTGTTCCAGATCATAGGTTTTGTAGGAAATTAATTTTGATCTCTAATTCTGAATTACAGGAAATTCAGTGGCCCAATAATGGAACACCAGCTAGGTCACTTCTGACAGCTCATCGTTTTTGTGATTTGAGCCCCTCCCAATTGCAAAAACAAAGCATGTTATCTCACATCACCACAGTTAGCTCCCAAGTGATTCATCTGTACCTCCAAAGTTAATCTTTCACTTTGAAATTTACAAGTGAGCGTAGCCCCAGCGAAGCTGACAGAACTTCCCTGGTTAAAGTTACACATCTCTGAATTCGTAGAACGGTTATCTGTATAGCTGCACAGCCAGAAAAGAGTGCCTTTTTACTCAAAACCCTTATGCTAGAGAAGATGCTACTATTCATCTGTTCTTACCATGGACTCCTCTCCGGGATAGTCCCAGGTCCATCATTGCCTAGGTTTCTGGTGTGGCAAGCACAAATTGGTGGCAGGACTATGACAACCCAGGGATTTGTAGGGGAAGGCAGAAATATCCCTGGTCAGCAATATTTGTGGAAAATGCTGCATTTGCTTTTTTATGTTTAGTAGGAATTACTTTGCAGGCCCATAGAGCTTCAGATGAGCATTACTGATGCACACATAAATCTGACGAGCCAGCTATGACTACATGGCTTTTTTAGGAGACAAACATGTTAGATACCACTAAGAAACCTGTCATGGTTGCTAGAAGACAAGAGCAATTGTTTAGGAATACCACCTCCACATGTTACATGATACTGTACTGTCTATTTTATCTGATCATTAGATCTCAACAAACTCAGTGTAGTAGACAAATTGAAAGCAGCTATAAAGCAGTATGGGAGGTACAGAAAGATAGCCAGCCAAGTTAAAAATAAATGTGGGAAGTAAAACAATGTATCTTTGGTCTCATCACTTCTTTGCTACTACCACAACACAGCTTCCAAAATCTGGACAATCATCATTCTTTTTACTGCAGGTAGGTTCCCCCCAAGAAAAAAAAACACCGAACCTATAGAATCTGTAAGTGATTGTAAATAACTCCTGTGATCTCAGTGTCATTGTTTACACACACTAAAATTTTGCAGAACTGTCAACACTGAGTTTCTAAGTCCAAGCTGAACCATAGAGCTTGGACTCATCCCAGTGCTTAAGTATTTGCTTAAGCGTTTGCTAAACTTTCAAAGTGTAAGCAACATTTATGAAGTCAGTACGACAACTCATGTTTAAAGTTAATGGGAAAATAGGAACTTTACTGTGCTGAGGTCTAAAAACACACATTCTGTCATGAAGATAGAATTGTATTTGCCCAGACCAGATTCAAAGACACAGGGGGAAAGTAACGTTATGTCCTGTTCTGGACCTGTTCAGGTTGTCTGCGAGAAAGCACTGTGCAGACCTGCATCAGCGAGGTAGGGTCCTGGGAAGGACCCGGACCCGGCCGTACCAGTCCCCACTGCTGGGCAGATGCTTCCCTGCATGTTCCATTGATTTTGCCTTAGCAGGGTTGACCCTTGCAGAAGGCTTTTGGCAGAACCAAGTCAGGATCCAAGCAAAAAGGCTTTGTAGGACTTTATTCATAGCAAAACCGATACGCAAGCTGCACCTGCTTTTGGCCTCCCATTCCCTGCTGATTTAGTCCTGCCCTATTTATATAGCTGCACTTGGTAAAATGATCAGTTTAGCATCACAGACTAAGAAATCACATGGACGTTTACTGGTATGGCATGGCATAATTAGCATCACTTCCTCAGGAGAAAATAGTGTTTACCTAATTTCCTTATTTTGTTTCATATCAATAAAGTGCTCTATAAAAGGAAATCTGTCAACAGACCTTCACAAAATTTCCCCACAAAGAGGCCGTTAATGAAGCTAGGTATTACTGAAGCGCTAGGCTACTGTGGTGTAACGTTCTGTAAACTCATTAAGAGAAGGGGAGTTAAAAGCCCCACAAGCTAGGCAAGAGTATGAATTTACCGTGCTCCCTAGAAGCTTAGAAAAAATAACTCCAAATCACCCCACTGCCGTTGCTGTCACAGCCGCGCTGGCGCCGACAAATAGGATCTTAATGCTGATAACCATCAGCTCATGATTTCTAAGGTTTTCCAACTCAATGCAATAATGTACCGACAGCTTCGTACTCAAGCGCCTCTGATAATCGCTTGATTAAGTGTCGCCACTCATCATCGGGGCAGCTTTATTTAAACTGTTATCACCCTGACGCTAACGAGCCTTAAAAGAGCCGGGGAGCCCGCCTAATTGGCCTGCCAATCTACCCCAACTAGCTTGCGGCGAGGCTTCTCGCAGGGCGCCCCGGGGATCCCCCCCGCGGCGGCGCCGGCGGAGCCGCCGGGCTCGCAGTGACCTCCCGTGGCGGCGCGGGCAAACGCCCGGCGGGCTGCCGTCAGCA